TCCCATGTGAGTTCAAGATGAGATAAGAAGTCTTGGGAATATTACAATGATTCCCGGGTATTTATTGGCCTTGTTTCAGGAGGAGTATCCCTTCTTCAGGTTTCTTTCAAGGTTTCTTCAGTCGTTTGAAATAATATCTTCTGAGGCTTTATAAACTAAACTTGAAGAGGACAAAATAATAGATATGCTAAAAACTTGGCTTCTCCTGTTTTTTGAGAGTGGCTCATTATTTACTGTCCTGATTCTAAGGGTTTTTTTAAACACTGGGAGCCAGAAATGCTGGACCATTCTAACAACCATCATGTTAGACTACACAGAGAAGTCACTGAAATCCACAAACGTGTGGACAATTTCAACAGAAAGGAGGAAACTATGAAAATAAACAAAATGTGCCTACCAGTATTAAAAACACCTCTAAATTCAGGACAGAAAATAAAGAGCAACACTAAAAAAAAAACCCCAAAAAGCCAGGGTACCTAAAGGCAGGAAACAATCAGTGTAGCTTACACCTTCCAGCAAAGGATTCCCCCAGGCAGGAATCAGATAGGTTTAGACGCTGCAAGGCCATTTAATGCTAATTAAGGTGGCCAATTGCAACATTCACACTTGCCTCAAACAGACAAGAGGTCTTTCTCCCATCCTGGACATTCCACAGATATATAAACCTTACAGCCTCTTAGGATGCCTGCCATAGATGTGGGCGACACGTCAGGAGAGAATGCTTCTGGAAAATGGCCATACAGCCTGGAAAACTCACAGCAACCCATATCTGAATCTGTTGTTAGCTTCCAAATTTGATAAAACTGGTTGCGGTTATAGTGATAAGTGAGCTATAAGGATAAATTGTCCGACATGGTATCATGAGGACTACAACTCCCAGAATTCACCTACCCAGACAGTGAAAGCTTGTGGCTCTGTTGTTATTCAGGTGGTAAATGTGATCCATGTTTCAGTATGTTGAACATATTTCAAGGATGAGGTTCATTGTCACATAGATAGTTCATTGAAAGTTAAGGCTCAAATCCAGAGAGGAGACACCATCCCACTGATAAGCCACAGTCTTCCATGTCGTAAAACAGGCTCATGTTTGAGGAGTATAGCAAGTCAATCCATTACTAATACACAATCCTGCCAAGCTGATTTCCAATCGCTGCATATTGCAGACTTTGGTGATATAAAACATTTCCTCCAAATGGAAGCACCTTTGATCTTCTCTCGGTGTTATTAAATAAATTTGGATTAATTTAATTTTTAAGGAAATGTCTTTACTGCTCTGGCTTGTCAAGAATACTGATTTGTTGACCTTCAAAAAATAGTGAAAGAACATTACAGGCTGGTGTATGCGACTGCATTTATACATAATGGGAGCGCTATAGGCTGCCTTTCCTTAAATGTAAAATGTTATGGCTATAAACCTCTCTTCCCCAGATTTAAGTCATTGGGTTTAAGATTTGGGATTGTAGCTTGGCTGGCAACTAGTACGGTGGAATCAAAGGCCCTGGATTGGGTTTAGATTAGATATTTACAAAGAGATTGACATGCTTGCCAGCGTCAGCATAATAAATTGAGACCCCGGTGGTGCAATAGGTTAAACCCTTGTGCCGGCAAGACTGAAGACCAACAGGTCGCAGGTTCGAATCGGCGGAGAGCATGGATGAGCTCCCTCTGTCAGCTCCAGCTCCCCATACAGGGACATGAGAGAAGCCTCCCACAAGGATGGTAAAACATCAGAAACATCCAGGCGTACCCTGGGCAACATCCTTGCAAACGGCCAATTCTCTCACACCAGAAGCTACTCACCAGAAGTTTCTCAAGTTGCTCCTGATGTGACAAAAACAAAAACGCACCAGCCCTTTAAGGTGGGTCACTTCCTAACTTTCTAAAATGAGTCAAGTTCATTACAGTACTCACTTCCATTTCTAAGCCGAAGAGCCAGCGTTGTCCTTAGACACCTCCAAGGTTATGTGGCCAGCGTGACTGCATGGAGTGCCGTTACCTTCCTGCCAGAGCAGTACCTATTGATCTAATCACATTTGCACGTTTTCAAACTGCTAGGTTGGCAGAAGCTCATCCCACTCTGCAGATTTGAATGCCAGCCTTTCGGTCAGCAAGTTCAGTTGCTCAGCGGTTTAACGCACTGTGTCACCACGGCACATGCTACCAATTGGAAAATCTTTCAGACTGCCTTCAAAGTTGCATAGGGTGCATCTACATCAGGGTTTCTCAACCTGGGGGCTGGGACCCCTGTGGAGGTCGCAAGGGTGCATTAGAGGGGTCACCAAAGACCATTAGAAAACACGGTAATTTCTGTTGGTCATAGGGGTTCCGTGTGGGAAGTTTGGCACAATTCTATCATTGGTGGGGTTCAGAATGCTCTTTGATTGTAGGTGAACTATAAATCCCAGCAACTACAGCTCCCATATGTCAAGGTCTATTTTTTCCCAAACTCCACCAGTGTTCACATTTGGGCATATGGAGTATCCGTGTCAAGTTTGGTCCAGATCCATCATTGTTTGAGTTCATAGTGCTCTCTGGATGTAGGTGAACTACAACTCCAAAACTCAAGGTCAATGCCCACCAAACCCTTCCAATATTTTCTATTGGTCATGGGAGTTGTGTATGCCAAGTTTGGTTCCATTTCATCATTGGTGGAGTTCAGAATGCTCTTTGATTGTGGGTGGACTATCAATCCCAGCAACTACAACTCCCAAAATCAATTCGTCTGCACCCCACTAGTATTCGAATTTGGTCGTATTGGGTATTTGTGCCAAATTTGGTCCAGTGAATGAAAATACACCCTGCATATCAGATATTTACATTACAGTTCTTAACAGTAGCAAAATCACAGTTGTGAAGTAGCAACAAAAATAATTTTATGGTTGGAGGTCACGACAACATGAGGAACTGTATTAAGGGGTCACGGCATTAGGAAGGTTGAGAAACACTGATCTACATGGTAGAATCAATGCAGCTTCACACCAGTTTAGGTGTCATGGCTCAATACTATGGAAACAATTGTAGTATTTAGCCTTCTCTACCAAAGAGTTCTGCTGCCTCAACACCCAGGATTCCATAGCATTGAATCATGGCAGTTAGAACAGTGTCATATACAGCTTTCTTTCTATAGTGTAGATGCACCTTGAGTCTAGGTGAAAGCAGCATTAGTGGTGAGAATATTTGGATGCAAACGGTTCTTCCATTTCATTAATGGAGTACAATTCGGGCACTAAATACTAAAGTCACCCGATCTGAGGAGCTAAACAGGGTCAGCTCTGAGAAATACTTTGAAGGGAGACCACCAACAAATACTAAATGGTTGAGGCTATGCATTTCTGAGCAAGGGATAGCAAAGCCACCTCTGACTATTCCTTATCCAGTAAAGCCCTGTGAAGTGAAGTCAATAGGCAACTTGAAGGCACTATAAGCACATGTTATATGTTAATTTGCATTTCCACTTGCAGCAATACAATTTCTGATAAATTTTCTGATTTTTTTTTAATTTTTCAAACTTCTCCACTAAATTACTACATTTGTCCTTCCATTCCAAGATCCATCCACCCCCAATTGTATTGCACACACATTGGATAAAAAAAAGACTATAGATGCAACTATGGATGTAGCTCCAATGTTATTGTAATATTGTTGGTAAGAGAAATGAAGCAATAATGTTATATTATTAGGTACTTGTGGGTTTTTTCGGGCTATATGGCCATGTTCTAGAGGCATTTTCTCCTGACATTTCGCCTGCATCTATGGCAAGCATCCTCAGAGGTATTGAGGTCTGTTGGAATTAGGAAAATGGGTTTATATATCTGTGGAATGACTGGGGTGGGGCAAAGACCTCTTCTCTGCTGGAGCTAGGTGTGAATGTTTTAACTGACCACCTTCATTAGCATTGAAAGGCCTGGCTGAGCCTGGGGGAATCTTTTGTTGAGAGGTGTTAAGATGTGCCTGGTTGTTTCCTCTCTGCTGTTTTGCTGTTGTAATTTTAGAGTTTTTTAATACTGGTAGCCAGATGTTATATTATTATTATGTTATATTATAATGTTATATTATTATTTTCTAAAAGTATAGTAGACAGACTGCCAATTCCACCTACATACATTCACACCTAGCTCCAGCAGACAAAAGTCCTTTGTCCCACCCTGGTCTTTCCACAGATATATAAACCCATTTTCCTACTTCCAACAGACCTCACTACATCTGAGGATGCTTGCCATAGATGCAGGCAAAACGTCAGGAGAAAATGCCTCTAGAACATGGCCATATAGCCTGGAAAAACCTACAACAACCCAATTCCACCTTCCTTTAAAACTTCTCAGTCAATGCAGTGGATATCTGTGTGCTGAGGTGTAGTGATGCATGCCTGTGTTTTTATGAGCCATCCAGATAATTATGTACATGCCTGATTTTTAGTACCGGTAAATATGCGGAGCCTCTGGTAGCACAGTGAGTTAAACCACTGAGCTGCAGAACTTGCTGACCGAAAGATCGGCGGTTCGAATCCGCAGAGTGGGGTGAGCTCCCGCTATTAGCCCCAGCTTCGAAAATGTACAGATCTGAGGAGATCAATAGGTACCAATACAGTGGGAACATAACAACACTCCATGCCGTCATGCCGGCCACATGACCTTGGAGGTGTCTATGGAGAACGCCTGACATGGAAAAAAAGCATAAAAAAGAAATAAAGGTAAGCACATTTTTGAGATTATCTGAAAGCTCATAAATTAGTTAGTCCCAAAGCAGCTGCTCCCTTAAAACTAGACAGTATTCTGTGCCAAGATGCTAGATAAAAGAGTATTTAGCATAACTTGGAAACATCATTCTTGACAGCAGTCAGATTCTTCAAGCCAGAGCTATTAAAGAAAACCCCCGGAAAAAAAACGAACCAGGTTTTCCAAGCTCCAGAGTTCTTATCCCAAAAAAGGTAACTTGTCCAAGCTCAGGGTGCTGACTAATATACTACTCATGTCAAACTTTACCATTATTTCTTTCATCAGGTTTGGACACGACCAAGGATCCCTGTCAAAAAGTTAAATGCAGTCGTCACAAGGTGTGCATTGCCCAGGGCTACCAGCGGGCCATGTGCATTAGCCGCAAAAAGCTGGAGCACAGGTAAAGGCGCGAGAAACTTCTTCATTATTCCCCGAGGGTAGAATACATGTTTTGAAATACTTACTCCTGCTTCATGCCTTCAGGGAATGGCTTTGTAGTTGGGTGGGATCTGGGTAGTCTGGAGGCTAGAATTCAAAGACATAGCTGTCTTAGACTGGAATATCAGTGTGCAAAGGAATCTTATAGCATTTTTGAGACTGGCATCATAAGCTTTTGTAGACTTCCTACTGAGAAATGACATCCTCTGTCAACAATGCCCTTCAGCACTATGCCATTGGGTAAAAAGGCCAGAGCATACATGGACACAAATCAGACATTACGAATAGAAATGCACAATAACCAATCTTCTGGGGAGGCCCTGCTCTTGGTCCCGCCTTCCTCGCAGATGCGTTTGGCGGGGACGAGAGACAGGGCCTTCTCAGCGGTGGCCCCTCGACTGTGGAATGCCCTGCCTAAAGATATTAGAACGTCTCCCTCCCTCCTGACTTTTTGAAGAAAGATGAAAACCTGGCTTTTTGAGCATAGTTATACGAAATAATGGAACTGCTTTATGACGCAGTTGAATAATGACTTGATATGGAGATGCTCACGACAATATTTTAAGGCTTGTACGGTCTTATATTTTTATTTTGTACTAGCCATCACCTGCCCCACATTGCTGTGGCCCACATGGGAGTTCTTTGTGGGAGGTTTGTGCCAATTCTATCGTTGGTAGGGTTCAGAATGCTCTGTGATTGTAGGTGAACTATAAATCCCAGCAACTACAACTCCCAAATGTCAAGATTCTATTTCCCCCAAACTCCACATTTGTTCACATTTGGGCATATTGAATATTCTTGTAGAGTTTGTTCCAGATCCATCATTGTTTGAGTCCGCCGTGATCTCTGGATGTAAGTGAACTACAACTCCAAAACCAAAGGACACTGGCCACCAATCCCTTCCAGTATTTTCTGTTGGTCATGGGAGAACTGTGTGCCAAGTTTGGTTCAATTCCATCATTGGTGGGGTTCAGAATGTTTTTTGATTGTAGGTGAATTATAAATCCCAGCAACTACAACTAGTAGTATCTTATGATTGTTTTACTTTTTAAAATCGTTATGAATGTTGAGGCATCGAATTGTTGCTATTTCTATACCACTCCAAGTTGCCTTTGGGCTGAGAGGGGCAGTAGATAAATATGGTAAATAAAGAAATATTATATGTATTAGGGCTGGGTAACAACGGAAAAAATTGTTTCTAAACTCGTTTCGTTTTTAGGGGGTCCATTGCGTTTCGTTTTTTAAAAGAATTCCGAATTTTTCTTTTAAAAAAATTCGTTATTTACGAAATTTCGTAAATTTAGAATTGATTCGTTAATGGCGGACGCGATTGCGCAATACGCTAAAAAAACCTCCAAATGGGACAGGGGGAACTTCTGAAGCTTCCCTCTCCCTCTGTTGTTGACTGTTGGTGTGATAATTTATTTTTTTATCACTGATAAAACAAACAACAACTATAAAACTTGCACCAGACATACGGAAATAATAACGAAACAATTTCGAAACGATTTCGAAATGTTTCGAACCAATTACGAAAAAATTACGAAATAAATTGAAAAATTCGTTTTGATTTTTAGTTGCTCCTGCATGGCTCAATATCGGATTGTAAGCTAATTTAAATACGAATCAATAACGAATTATGAAATTAACGAACGAAACCACCCAGCCCTAATATGTATGTATGTATGTCTCATATATAGCCTGAATAAAGAAGGCTACTGTGGTGAAGTGTGAGTTTTAATCTACAGTTATGTATAATAATAGATAGGTGTTTAAAAGGGTAAGTATTTAAACCAGCATAATTGGGGGGATGGTAGCCAGCTCAACTCACTTTGAGCTGAGTTGCCATGGAAAAAGGGGCGGAGCCAACTGCCACTTGGCAGGGCAGCCATTTTAAAACAGTTAGTCTGTAGTCAGCAAACTACAGGGAAGGCTGGTTCTGTTGTGTGTTGAGAACCAGAAAGGTAGTCTGTAGTCTAAGAACTACAGGAAAAGGCTGATTCTACTGTGTTGAGAATCAGGAAGGTTTTGGCTTTTAGCCTGTGTAGTTTAGATAGGTCGAGTTGACTTATTTATATTATTAGTTTGTGTATGAGCAAAAGGGGGAGAGAACCCTAATAAGAATTTTTACTGCAACAGAAATAACATAAGGAAAGAATAAGCTTGTACCTGAAGTAACCTGTTAAAGAAAGAAACACATTTTGAAGGAAAATAAGTTTAAAACCTGTTTAATGGAAGGAACAGTATTCTCAAGAGTTGTGTTATGAAATGTTATAAATGTAACCTCTGAAGATATGTGCCTCTGAGAGATAAGAAACATTGAAACCATCAAGCTTCTTCTATACTTCAATAAACTTGTTACAGTTTCTTCTAAAGCCAAGTCTCTGTTGCAAATACTTTCAAGTTAAGCTACGCTACACATTGAAGAAAGACCAAATCAATATTACAAGTTATTAGTTGTATTATCAATTTAATAAGTCCTTACAAAGTGGTGGCTCCTTGACAACCCATTACAAATTGGTGGCATCGTTACAAACTGGGTGCCATCTTTACAAATTGGTGGCCTCTTTACAGCTACCAACTGATTTCATTTTCATTCTGAGAATTTGAGTACTTTTTGGCAGCAGGGCTGGAAACAAATAGGAAAAAGAAAAATATAAAAATCAGGGGCAAATAATGTGGTGTTCCTGAGAGAGCGAGACACAGAACTTCTACATTAAAAGTCACTTATGTGCTTCCTTTCAGAGCTTTCCCAAAAATAAATGGTTACCATTAATGATGCAAAATGGTATTAGTTACTTGTCATGTTACTCATTATTTTAAAAGGGGGGAAAAAAAACCTCAGGATGGATTGAGACTGGCATAAAACATGAATAATTTAGCTGAAAAGTGCCTCATTTAATGACCTTGAAAGTAACTAGAAAGCAAGTAAAAATGTACGGCTCGTTTTACAAACACTTCTTGCTTTTTCCCACCCTAGGTGTTCCCACTGTTGCTTTTGAAATTGGTCCACATTGTGCCCTCGTTGCTGAAATCAATAATGTAGATCGTAATGCTTGTACCAAAACTAAAATTGCCGGATTGGATCCAACACAGGATTTCTGTAGTTTTCATCCATAAAAGATTTTGGAGCACAGCAAGGTCAAAGTATGACAAAGATACCTACCCTTCCTCTCTTTCCAAACCCCAACTTTTATTTATATTTGTTAACACACAACCCCAACGTGGCTATTTATTTATTTATTTATTTATTTATTTATTTATTTATTTATTTGATATTTTTATATACCATCCGCAGGTGACTCGGGGTAGTTCACAGTTGATACCAAGACCATAAAATACAACTAAAAACATTAAAATATTATAAAACCATAGCAAAGTCAATAACAAACATTTATCATTAGCGTCTCCTTCCTGAAAACATTGGCCAATCACATCGTCTAATTGCTCTACCAGTGGAGGTGGAGGTAAATGATGAATACCTAACTCTCTTGGCCTCAATGGATGCACAGCACTGTCTTGTCCTCCAGGACCTCTTAAGGACTAAAGCTACAGGAGCCCTGTCCCAAATCCAGTGTAATCACAAGTTGTGGTAGGTTGCATTGCCCCATATTCATGGATACAATTTTTTTTCTGCTACATCAACTGTTTTGTTGCTAGCTTTGAGGGACGCCACTTTGCCTCTTCTCTAGTGAACAAACTATATACTAAAAGATCATTATTTGGGAGGGAAAATAAAAAAGAACAGTTCACAGAATAATAGTAATAATTTGTTGTTGTTTATTAGTTCAGTCGCTTCCAACTTCGTGACCTCATGGACTAGCCCACGCCAGAGCTCCCTGTCGGCCGTTGCCGCCCCTAGCTCCTTCCAGGTCAAGCCAGTCACTTCAAGGATACCATCCATCCATCTTGCCCTTAGTCGGCCTCTCTTCCTTTTTCCTTCCATTTTCCCCAGCATCATTGTCTTCTCCAAGCTTTCGTGTCTTCTCATTATGTGGCCAAAGTACTTCATCTTTGCCTCTAATATCCTTCCCTCCACTGAGCAGTCAGGCTTTATTTCCTGAAGTATGGACTGGTTGGATCTTCTTGTGGTCCAAGGCACTCTCAGAACTTTCCTCCAACACTACAGTTCAAAAGCATCTATTTTCTTTTGCTCAGCCTTCCTTATGGTCCAGCTCTCACATCCATAGGTGACTACGGGGAATACCATTGCTTTAACTATGCAGATCTTTGTTGCCAGTGTGATGTCTCTACTCTTCACTATTTTATCGAGAGTGGTCATTGCTCTCCTCCCAAGAAGTAAACATCTACTGATTTCCTGGCGTCTGCAGTCATCTTTGCACCTAGAAATACAAAGTCGTTCACTGCCTCCATGTTTTCTCCCTCTATTTGCCAGTTATCAATCAGTCTGGTTGCCATAATCTTGGTTTTTTATGTTTAACTACAACACAGCTTTTGCGCTTTCTTCTTTCACCTTGATTAGAAGGCTCCTCAGCTCCTCCTCACTTTTGGCCATCAAAGTGGTATCATCTGCATATCTAAGGTTGTTAATGTTTCTTCCAGCAATTTTAACTCCAGCCTTGCATTCATCAAGCCCCACACATCGCATGATGTGTTCTCCATACAAGTTGAATAGGTTGGGTGAGAGTATACAACCCTGCCATACGCCTTTCCCAATCTTGAACCAGTCTGTTTTTTCCATGGTCAGTTCCTACGGTCGCTACTTGGTCCTTATACAGATTCCTCAGGAGACAGACAAGGTGATTTGGTATGCCCATCCCACCAAGAACTTGCCACAAATTTATTATGATCCACACAGTCAAAGGCTTTAGAATAGTCAATAAAGCAGGAATAGATGTTTTTCTGAAACTTGCTGCCTTTCTCCATTATCCAGCAGATATTGGCAATTTGGTCTCTGTTCCTCTGCCTTTTCTAAACCCAGCTTGTGTACATCTGGCAACTCTCTCTCCATGTATTGCTGGAGTCTTCCTTGCAGGATCTTGAGCATTACCTTACTGGCATGAGAAATAAGGGCCACTGTGTGAAAGTTTAGTAATAAAAATAACTTTATTTTTATACTCCACCTCCATCTCCCCGAAGGGACTCGGTGCAGCATACAAAGGGACGAGCCCAGAGAGCACAGAGTTAAAACGTAATGCAATAAAATAAAAACAAAACAAAGCAAAACAGAAACATATCACAATAAAACATATCATGAGAGCAATAAAAGTACTGAGTCCATAGGGCTCTGCGTTTGTGCAAAATTCCTAGATAGAGCTAAGGGAAAGTGCAAAGTTCAGTGGCAGGGATGGGAGAGTAATGTCCTTGAGCTTTATAATGTCAGGATTGTAGAGAGGAGGGCTAAAGTGCAGGAACTTAGGTATTAAAGGGCCAATTCTTTGGAACTGCCTAATCAAAGGCACAATGGAACATCCATGTTCTTGTGGAAGGAGGACAGAGTAGGTGACAGTTCCAGAGCCAGGGGCCACTACTGAGAAGACCCTCTCCCTTGTCCCCACCAACCGTGCCTGAGACGGAGGCAGAAGCAAGAGGAGCGCCTCCCCAGATGATCTTAGGGCTCATGTTGGTTCATAGAGGAAGATACTATCACGAAGATAGGCAGGTCCCGAACCGTTTAGGGCTTTGTAGGTAATCACCTGCATCTTGAATTGGGACTGAAAACTCATTGGTGGTCAGTGGAGCTTTTTAAACAGGGAGGTTGACCACTCCCTGTCACTTGAAAGGTCACGCTTGGCATGAACTCCCTGTAACTTGCTCCAGTTAGTAATCTGGCCACCAATCTTTGGACCAGTTGAAATGTCTGGATCATCTTCAAGGGCAGCCCCATGTAGAGTGCATTGCAGTAATCCAGTCTAGAGGTAACTAGGGCATGGACCACCATGGTCAAGTCAGACTTCACGAGGTACGGGCACAGCTGGCTCACAAGCTTTAATTGCGCAAAGTCCCTCCCAGCCACTGCTGACACCTGAGCATCAAGTGTCAGAGCGGAATTGAGAAGGACCCCCAGACTGCGGACCTGTGTCCGCAGTCAAGCACAGGCTGCCACCCTATACTCCAATCGGCCAAATGACTGGCCTGGAGGACCTCTGTCTTGTCAGGATTAAGCTTCAGCTTGTTAGCCCTCATCCTGTCCATCACAGCGGCCAGACACTGGTCAAGGATTCGGGGGGCTTCCTTGGAATTTGGTGGAAAGGAGTAGTAGAGTTGTGTGTCATCTGTGTAGAAAAGACAGAAAACAACTTCCACTGTTTCTCTGTGCCAGCTTCTCGCAACCCGAAGCCCTAGAATTGTAATCCAATATATTTGGAGATGCTGGTTGGTGGATGAGTAATTTCACCTATAGATTTCTGCCTGTTATATCATGTTAGTAGTGCTGGAAAACATCCTTTCTCAAGTCCTCGGTTTATTTATTTATTTACAACATTTATATTCCGCCCTTCTTACCCCTGAAGGGGACTCAGGGTAACTTACATGAGTGGCATTATTCCATGCCCGAACAACAACAATTAAAAGCAACTGAATAGCAATTTAAAACAACATTAAAACAACATATGTAAACATTAGATGATTGTGCATAGATCCAAAGCCAGATAATCACATAATCATATTCATGAATCCAAAGCCAATTCCAACTGTATAGCACAGATAATTATGCTGGGCCAAATGCTTGCTCCCAAAGCAAAGTTTTTACTTGTTTGCGAAATGACAGGAGGGAAGGGGCTGATCTAATCCCACTAGGGAGGGAGTTCCACATTTGGGGGGCCACCACTGAAAAGGCCCTGTCTCTCACCCCCACCTTCGCAGATGTTCTTGATTCCACCTGTGAAGGTGGTGGAACCAAGAGCAGGGCCTCTCCAGAAGATCTTAACCTCTGTGATGGTTCATACAGGGAGATGCATTCAGACTGGTAAGTTGGGCCTGTCTACATTTTGAATTCTTCATTTGAGGAGCTTGTAGATTAGGGTAGTTTTGTGTTTTGTCATTTGGGGACAGGAAAAGTTATCTTTTTAAGACTACAGCTCCCAGAATATCATGACCATTGACCATGCTGGGAACTGTAGTCCAGAAAGACATTTTTCCAAACTATGACTCAAATGCCAATAAGAAGAATGCATTCTGTGCTTGTGGCTGCATACGCAGTGAGGTAAACCTCCATTCTAACACTCTCTCTTTGTTTTCTCTTCCTTCTCTCTCATTCTTGTTCATATGTACACACACACAGAATCAAACAGCCAGCCCTGAAACCCCATGGAAACAAGGATAGCTTGTGCAAGCCCTGCCATATGACCCAGCTGGCATCTGTTTGTGGCTCCGATGGACACACGTACAGCTCTGTGGTGAGGAGAAAACAACTAACCCTGATGACAACGTGGGTGGGAAGCGGGCGGGGGAACACTCTCTTGGGATTCAAAAAATGGATGTGGTTTTGAGCTTCTAGCCTTCATGGTGGTGACCTATCTTATGCAAGAAAAGACATCTCCTAAGGCAGACAGAAGACAAGAGGTAGAGTGAGAGGCTCAGGTGGTAGTTGCCACGAAAGGGCAGAAAATGGTTAATTATGTACTATTATTATGAAAGGTAGGGGCAAAGATCATATGAGGATTTCTGCCTTGAATGCCAAAACATCTGGCCCATCTCTGAGTAAGGCTTACCTTGATTTGAGTGGTTATGGCAAGGTGGTTGTGGCAAGGTGCTATTTGCTGATATACCTCAGGCAACAACATTCTCAGGCTTTCTGGAATAGTAATGAATCTGCTCAATCGAGAGCTACTAGACCAGTGGTTCTCAACCTATGGGTCCCCAGGTGTTTTGACCTACAACTACCAGAAATCCCAGCCACTTTACCAGCTGTTAGGATTTCTGGGAGTTGAAAGCCAAAACATCTGGGGACCCACAGGTTGAGAACCACTGGCTTAGAGGATCTCTTTTGTCCTTTGCAGCAAACAAAGGATGCCCACTAAGCCCAACATAGTGCCACCAAGAAAATTCAACAAATGCTACGTTCAGCAAAGGACAAGAGGGGTCCTCTAACCAATGCAGGAGTATACCATATACCAGGGGTCCTCAAACTAAGGCCCGAGGGCCGGATACGCCCCTCCAAGTCATTTACCTGGCCCTCGCTCAGGATCAGCCTAAGTTTGAAATGACTTGAAAGCACACAACAATAACAATAATCCTATCTCTTCAGCCAAAAGCAGGCCTAAACTTCCTGTTGAAATACTAATAAGGTTATATTTGTTAAAATTGTTCTTCATTTTAATTACATTATTGTTTTTTAAGTGTTTTGTGCACTACAAATAAGATATGTACAGTGTGCATAGGAATTCATTCATGCTTTTTTCACATTATAATGCAGCCCTCCATCAGTTTGAGTAACTGTGACCTGGCCCTCTGTTTAAAATGTTTGAGGACCCTTGCCATATACTGTGGAGCTGTGGACAAGTCTACATAGGGACCACCAAATACAGCATTGCACAAACACTAATAAGGAATGTGAAAGGCATTGCAGACTACTTCAACCAGAGAAGCCAGCCATAGCAAAGCACCTGGCCATGAAAGCCTTCGACAACATATTGTAGATCTGTGGCTTAGCTACTTCTCCCAAAGCAGGATAGTGGCTCATTTATTTATTGAGTCGTATTTTATACCATTAAATTTCTTTGTGGACTTGTTTTATGCTCCCAATTCTTAATCATGCTAGCTTGATGTTGAAGAGGAATTGCTGTATCTACTACCGTACTGTTTTTCTGTAAATGATCATTTGAGGAGGTGTGAGACTGAAAGCTACACAGTTCTCTGCTATTAAACTGCTCATCCAGGCTTACCATTAATGTGAGCTGCTAAACACATTAGGTAAAGCTAGGTTTTCCTTTTCAGTTTACTCCCACTCTTGTGTCTTTACGCCAAGTAAACAGAAAGAAGAAAGAAGAGTCAGCATGGTGTAATGGTCTGAGTGTCGGACTATGACTCTGGAGGCCAAGGCTCAAACTGCCACTCAGCCAAATTTTCACAAAATAAGTCTTTCCCCCTCCAATTTTACATGACCCATCAGGTTTGCTCTGGACATTCCTTTGACAATTGCTGTATCATTTGCTTGTGTGCAACGGTGGGCCAGGTATTCTGTCCTGCACTAACCTAGTTCATTGCGCACAGCCGATTTATGAAAAAGTTGTTTATACAATTTGTTAAGGCTTCCTTGCGGAGAAGAAAAGACTTGTGTTTCCTCTTTCCACACTCCTAGAGTGATGTTGGGAAATCTGCATTCTTTTTCTGCATTTCCCTCATTCCTTCCGTACAACAGAAGAAATCTGGAAGTAAGCTGAGAAGGAATGCAAGTCTTCTGAGACATCTTTTGAATGTTCAAAGCATTTCTTTCCCCTCATAAATAGTATTTTCTCAATTTTTCTTTCTGATGGCAGAGGTCAATGTTTTGATAACACTTCTCATGTAAAGCACCAGTTCCCAAATGTTGATCCTCCAAATATTTTGGATTTCAGCTCCCAGAATTCTTGACTGTTGGCTAAGCTGGCTCGGATTATGGGAGTCCAAAACACATGGAGGGCCAAAGTTTTGGAACTAAGATTACATCTACACTTTGAAATTAATGCAGCTTTACAATACTATAATTGCCATTGCTCATTACTATGGAAACATGGAATTTCTAGTTTGGCCAGCACTTGTTTGGCAAAGAAAGCTAAAGACAGCAGTAGCACAGTGGGTTAAACCGCTAGCTGCAGAAAAACTTGCTGACCAGAAGGTTGGCAGTTTGAAGCTGCGAGTTGGGTGAGCTCCCACTGTTAGCCCTAGCATCTGCCAACCTAGCAGTTCAAAAACATGCAACGTGACCACATTTCTGTTTACGAACCCAGCAATCTCTTCGATCATCTGGAGAGGCCAGACGCGATCAGTGGGGACGAGGGAGAGGGCCTTCTCTGTGGTGGCCCCCTGACTATGGAACTCACTCCCTAAAGATATCAGACAAGCCCCCACTTTGGCAGTCTTTGGGAGGAGCTTGAAAACGTGGCTGTTCCAGTGTGACTTCCCTGAATAAAGGAAATAATGCCCGATCTGACCAATTTCCTTCTATATGTCCTCTGAAGCACTTTATCTATCCGTTGGATTGATATCCCTACATCACTCTCTAAAACACCCATGACAAGACATACCCTACTCTTTACATGCCCAGTGTTTTAAAATTTTAATCTATTACATCTGGCTCTGCCATAGTGTTTTAAATCTCTTGTGTGTTATTGCTTATATGTATATTGTTTTATTTGTTTGTTTGCTTTGTTGATGTACTGTTGCATTTGTATTTGATGGGCTTGGCCTCATGTAAGCCACCCTGAGTCCCTTCGGGGAGATGGTGGTGGGGTATAAATAAATTATTATTATTATTATTATTATTATTATTATTATTATTATTATTATTATGTGAGTAGACCAGTAGGTAACGCCTTGGTGGGAAGTTGAAAGGTGCCTATGTAGCCATGCTGGCAAAACATGACCAGGAGGTTCTATGGACAATAGGCTCCTCAGCATGGAAAATGGAACAGGAGCACCTCCCCATGGCCAGAATTGAGCATTGCCTTCAGATGCCGGAGACAGAAGGGAAACATTTGCCTTTGTTTGTGTATTATATGTCATTGTTCACTGTTTAAAAGGCATTGAATGTTAGCCGATATATGTATACTGTAATTCGCTTTGAGTCCCCTTGGGGAAATAAAGCAGAATATAAATAGAATGTATTATTAAGATCTTGTAAACATACAACTCACAAGATTCCATAGCATTGAGCCCTGGTAGTTAAAGTGGGGCCAAATTGCATTAATTCTACAGTGCAGATCAGGGGTTCTCAAACTTTTTAAACAGAGGGCCAGGTCACAGTTCCTCAAACTGTTGGAGGGCCAGATTATAATTTGAAAAAAACATGAATGAATTCCTATGCTCACTGCACATATCTTATTTGTAATGCAAAAAAACACTTTAAAACAATACTGTGCTGTTGCACGCTGGGCCCGAAATAATGTCTGTTTACAGGACGTGCTCTTTGTATGCCCAACGGGACTCCGGGGTGCCTCAGCTGAAGGGCCCTTTAGATTTCCCAACACAAAGTTCTATTGAAGCTCAAGATAAGTTCAACAAAGTCCTTTATTTGGGCTTAAATCTTCAAACAAATGAATTAAACACTTTATAACCTTGGAAAACCGGTAGCTTCCTCAATCTGCCAGCAAGGGGCAGGCAACTGGTGGTAAACTGTTCCTTTCTTCCTTAGGTAAATCCTTTGACCCCTCCCTGGGCAATCTCTCTTTACCTTGCTGGCGTGAGGCCCCTACTCCTGGCTCCAAGCTGCTTTATGGATAGCCCGAGTGGTCCCTTACCAGGCAAGGTTCCTGTAGATCTGCCAAGCTGTTAGTTTCTCCACAAAGGCTGTAGGAACTATTTCTTTACTCCCCAGGAGAGCTGTGGATCTGTTTCTTTAACCCCCAGCAAAAGCTGTGTAAACTCCTTTACTCCCCCAGCAGAGCTGTTGAAATGGCAGGGAAAAGGGTTTGAGGAAAGGAAACACAAAGAGAGGTCCTGGGGGTCTGAAAAGCACGGCTTTTATTTATCCAGCTGGGGCCCTGGAGTGGACTAGCGCCCAAAAGCAAACCAGAGCCCCGATCAAGGGGCTGACTGCCTTTTATAGATTCCAGGTTCAAGCAAACAAAGAACATGCTTCTACATGCATCTACATCATTCACTGCGTCATCTTAGCATCATAAGAATATCAAATTCTAACTTCCAACATGCAAAAACATGTCTGTGTTTCTAAAGAGCAAGCATAGCTTCATCAATCAAGGGGCCCACTTGGACCCCGTCAAGAGGCTCCTTCCTTAGAGCCTAGATGTACCAGCCTGTGGCTCCTAGTACTTATCTCTCTCTCCTGGAATGTTCCCCCTCCCTCTTGGCTGTGCTTGGGACGCAGCTTGCTGGTCCTGTTAGCTTGGGTTTCTTTCTATACACAGAGAGAGCTTGATTTTTCTATACATTTAAAGTACATACAATTTATAAATCAATAAATATCTATTTTTCCAATATCTCCTCATCATTGTGAGAAGTGAAGCTTTTGTGCAGGTGGGAAAGAAAATCCCACGCGTCCTGCTGTTAGGCTTCAAACAGTGAGACTGAACAAAGTCCTACTTTCCCTCCAAAAACCCTGGGAAAGGGGGCGGGTCTAAAGATTCTAACGGTGATTGCCAAGTTGTTGGCCCTATGATTGCACCCTGAGGGAAGCTACCTTATTGCAAAATGCATGGCTTAAATAGATTCATGCAAACTAGCAGTGCAAGAAAAGGAA